GACCTGGAGTATACCTCTCTGTTTCAATGACTTATGCAACTAAGATATCGCGTATTAAGTGCCAGAACCCCCCCCCCCCCCGGGAATCAAGATAGCAATGTGTAAACTAAGTCCGAAACGCATCATCGATCAACGAGTATCTAGTTAATGAGACGATTCCTCTGGGGATCTGGATTTGGTGAGAGAAGCAGAGTCCCCTCATCCCGTACGTGTTAAACATGGCACCATCTTGAACATTTGTTTAAAATAGGTGGTTATGACAGATTTTGCAAGCAGATAAAGTCGATACACTAAATCATGCACGCATTTTCTCTTACTCGTTGACTTTACCTTCCCGCCTTCTTCCCTCATTGCTCAGTTACAGAAATTTAAAAAAAAGAAGAAGAAGAAGAAGAAGAAGAAGAAACTTCGTCGGTTCCAATTATAATCTTTCTTCAAAACTATTATAATAACAATTACCCCAGGCCCAACAATAATCTTTCTTCAATATCAACTCAGCACACACGCAAAACAAATGCCCAAAACACAGATGCAGTGCGGTGGCGAGGAGAAGAAAACGAGAAAATGATGAAATTGACAGCAAGATCAGAATCCAGCGATGACCCAAAGCCCTAGATGATGGCATTTGCGCAAGTACCTAGCCTCCACAATTCCCAAAACTAAACCAGTATACTTGGCATAAGCATCGGAAGAAAACGTTTTAAGAAATTGTTATGCATCACAACCAAATATACCTTATTTCCAAGCCTCCCCATTATGGGATTGTCACTGCGAAAACTCCCTGACTCCAACGTCACAGAAAAGGTGAATATCATACTTCCTCGGAATCTCTCTCTCTCTCTATTTTTTTTAAAAAAGGCTATTTTCAGTTATTTTCATAAGAGACTTTACAAATTTTTAAAAATATTAAATCCTCATTTTCCTTAAATACTCCTGATTATTTAGAGAGAGAAAGATAAAACTATAGTAATTTAATACTTCATTTGATTCTCTACATAAGTCAATTAAAACCATCATATTGGAATAAGATAAGTTAGTCAAATTATTGACATTGTTTAAAAAATTTACTTTTATCAGGTGCATCATCGTTAAAAATATTCTTTTTCACGTATAATCTTTTACTACATGGACAAAATTTTTTTGAAAAAAAGAAGTAATTAATAATTCTTTTTAGAAGATGATTAGGACTAGAGGGAGTAAACTTTAGGGAGAATTGCATTCAGGATCCTTGGAAAGAACAAAATTGTAGAAAGGGTCCAATACATTCTGAATCTTCTCTGAAGGCCAAAGGACTAAATTGATATTAATTTCTCACACTAAATGACAAAATTGCCCCTTATTTGAAAAACTAAAACCATCGAAATTATCTATCATGAAAAACCTGAAGTTCATTTCTCTCAATCTCATAACCTCATTAATGTTGTCAGAGCTTGTTTTTCACCAGATCAAAGCCACTCTATCTAGTATTGAGAGTCGAAGGTTACTATCTTGTGAGTTAATCGGTGAAAAGCGAAGGGAATTGATGTTATATCACTCATATGAGAGTCATTGGAACCATTTCGGCATTATTGTTGGCAAACACATTGAAGATTTACATTCGTGCAAGTGAGTGTAGCAAATTTATAAGAACTCATTATTTATGTGATAGAAAAATTTTGAAAGAGCCTCACTATAGTAATTCAGCAAAAGTTTGTCTTGTATTATTCTTTTATTTTCACTATAGTTTGTAGCTGTGTAGTGTGAGTGTATAGGTTTTCGTAGCATTTGAAGAAAGAGCTTGATGAGTGAATCTAAAGTCTATGTTGTACAAAAGGCAAATATTGAACTCTTGAATTTGAAGCTATCCTATCAATCGAAATGGAATTTGTGATGTAAAAATTAGAATGTGGTGTTGTAAAAACTTGGATTATAGTTGTAAATTCATAAACCAATAAAATTTTGGCATAAAATATGTTGGAAGTGAAAGTCACAAAAAGAACAACTGAATTATATATTGTAGAAATATGATATTTGTCTTGTTGAGGAAGACAACAAGACAAACGGTTAAAAATATAAACATATTTAATAAAAAATAACTAATTTTAACTATTTTTTTAAAAAAAGTTGTGTACAAATTGTTAAAGGTGTTCTATGAAGAGGGGAGGAAGGAGTAGAAATTGAAAAACTTGCCTCATAAATCCATTATTGTGAAAGAGGAACCCTAATTTTTTAATTAAAATCAAAATACCAACCCATGCGCAGCTTTTAGCTTCACAACAGAAAAGGAGAAACGAGGGAGAGAGAGTGCCAGCGGTGGCGAAGAGCACCAATATGGCTATTCTACATCCAACGAGGGAGATGGCTACTTTTGAGTTTCCAATAATATGGTATATGGACACTTAGATTTAACCTTCGATGGATGTTAGGAACTTGGGATTGGGTGTTCCCAAACAAGAGGCTTTGAATTTATTTTTTTTAAGAGGGGAAAACAAAATTTGGTTGAGAATTATGAAGATCAACCTAAACTATCCTTACCATTCCCAACTAGAATTCTAATTTTTAGAATTTTATTCTTCTCTTAATCTAAAATCAAATTAATGATTGAATCAAGTTTCTAACATTTTTGATGTATCAAAGAGGTCACCTTTAAATTCTTCATCTCTTCTCTAACCTCCTCTCCTTTCAATCTCATTCCTTTCAAGATCAATATCCAAGTATTTAATCACAAGTTAGCTGTTTTATCATCACAAATCTTCAAAACTCTTTTTTTTTTTTTCAACAGATAACAACCCTCCAATATATTATGCCAGCACCATGAAGGTCTTCTCCCTCTCTTTTCTGTAAATAAATCACATTTAGGAAAGTATATACTTTTCAAGATTCTACTCCAAAATTCATCAGGATTTTAATTAATCTCCATACAGTTTTAGCAAGCAAAACAATGTTGAAGGCTTTGAAATCTCTAAAACTCATACCACAATCAAGCTTAGAATTAGACAACAAACTCAACTTCCCTCAATGAATTTTTCCACTACCATCCTCACTATTGCCCCACCAAAATTTAGAGATTAACCCATCCAATTCTTTTCAAATTTTAATAGAAAAGGAAAAACAAGTCATTGGATAAATAGGTATAGCATTAACAATAACTTTTATCAAAACCTCCCTTTTTGAAAAAGCAAGAGAAGCTATTTTAGACCTAGCCCAAATGACAAGTAAACCAAGGTATTTTTCTTGTTGGTCAACACTAGAAATATGCCAAAGTAAAGATATTTCATCTCTCAACTCCTTGTTAGCATTAGCTGAGAAAAACAAGCAAGATTTATCCAAATTAATTATTTGCCTAGTAGCAACACAATAAATTTCAATAATTTTTCTCAAAATCAAACAATTCTCCTTTTCAACCTTCATAAAAAAGAGTGATTAATCTACAAAAAAATAAATGAGATAATACTGAGCACCCCTTTACCAGCCTTAAACCTTTTAAATCTCCTTTTTTAACATGATAAATCATTATCTAAGACATGCAATGATGATAAAAAGAAATGGAGAAAGAAAATCTCCTTCACCTTTAAAAATATTTTATGTTTTATAAAAAGGCAATTGCACATAACCCTTCACCTTAAAAATTTAAATCAACTCCAATAATCTTTTATTTGTTTACCACAAGCTTTCTTATTGTTAATTTTTTAATTATCTTACTACTAAAAGTTGCTATTTAATATTAAAAAGATATGTAGTAGCCTATGTAATATTTGATGTAAACCAATAGTAGCTTTATAAAAACTTTATTCATATTTTTCAGTTATTATTAACTTACATTGAATGCCACATATGTTACAATGTGTCTTTTTTTTAATATAAGATATAAGATGACAATTTGTATTAATAAAATAACTAAAATAATAATAATAATAATAAAAGAATTGATGATAAAAAAAACATTTAAAAAAATTATGCATGTTAATTTTAAACTTTTAAATGAAGCTGTAATTTAAAATTATTTTATGCTCCTTTCGTTTAAAAATATAAAATATTTTTAATCGAATCTCACCCCCAAATAAAGTAATTACCTACTTTTAAACTAACCATATCTTTTCATATTTATTCATATTAAATATTCTATAATAAATATACAGTCACTATTAATAGGAACATTTTTTTTTTAAAAAAAAGCAATGATTACATCCTAAAAAATTAAAAATGCTTTATATTTTTTTAACATTTAACTTCTCAAAAAATGCCTTATATTTTTTAATGGAAGGAATATATTTTAACCTATAAAAATAATAAAACAAACCAAAAAAAAACTAGAAAAATTAAAACTTCACATAATATATCTTTAAAAGATTAAAATCCTAAATTTATAATTTATTTAAACGTGTATAAAAATTTATCAATATATCTATATCCTGACAAAAAAAAAATCAATATCTATGAATATATTACATAAAATTTAAATCCTCAAACGGGAAATATGCTATAATTACTACGTTTTTATTTGATTTACATCGATCCGTGCAACATGAAGTTCTGCCCTAGTACACACGCACAGCCACACCGGAACAAAAATTATCCAAAACACTATCACTTCTGTATCATCAAGCGGTAGCAGTAACGATGATGATAATAGAAGCCTAAACATTCCCGCCTAGTTCTCTCTAGTTTGGGCTCCTATAATAAAAATATCATTTGTGTAATCATTGCTCGTTCAGTGAAAAACTAGCAAGCCTAACATTCTCAAAGAGTTATCTACTTTCTGACTATCATTTATCATAAATCGTCCAGATTAAAATCTAAGCAAGTTCAGAATAATTTGATAGCGAGGCAAATTCGAGATGTTGCTCGCTTGTCGCATTTGAAGGCTACAGAATTTCGGTTGACCTTCGCTCAGCCTTTTATAATCAAGCAATCTAAAATTTAACTCATCACCAAGGCATATAAAAAATTCCACCAAAACTACTAGAAAGAAAACTTAATTTGAAAATACACTTAAAATGACACTGATCGAACAAGAAATCTAAGAAACAAGAGCATTAAAGTTCATACATTACCATAACTGAATCAATAACATCAAATTTGTCTTCAGCTCGTATGATATTGCAAAATTTTGAATTTTTGAAGTCAGATCACCTTATCCTTATCCAAAATAAACAACTAGGATAAACTCAAACCCTAAATCCTTTGCTGTTCCTCCTTCCTCTCGCCCTCTCGAACTTCCTTCCCTTAGATCGCACATAAGGCTTGCTGTGGCTATGGGGCACACCAGGAGCAGGACCAAAATGCTTCACCGCTTCACGAGCATTCTTTGGGCCCCTAAGAAGGACCTGCTTCCAAGATTTTCAGGTCAAATTTACCGTCCAAAAACTGACAAAATCTTTAATTTTCCACACTTCTCTAATCATTAAACTACAATACCATCACACAAACATCTAGAGTGCTATTGCAATGGGGGAGAGGAGAAAAAGTAGCTAGGAAAAAGAGGGTTGAATGTTCTGAAACAAGTAGGGTAATGAAAAATTAAAATACAAATCCAGGCTTTTGTGCAAATCCAATCAATACTATTCCCTTAGTCAATAAAATTGTTAATTATTAGGAGATGGTAATTAATATATCCACTCAATCAGCACTTCCAACAAAATCTAAGATTTCTATAAAACACAAAGGACGCCACAAAATAAGCAAAATAAGCGCTATTGTGAGTCCCATGTGACAGCCTACAGAGATCTAACAACATAAGCATAGAAAAGAAAAATTAATAACTACATGTTCACTATTTAGATAAAAACACCATGAATGGGATATTAGATAAAGCAAACAATTCAGAAAATGGTGATATGGCTACATACCGTGTTCTGTCCCAGAGGAGCCCTAAGAGCAAGCTGATCAAATGTCAGGCATTCACCACCAGACTTTTCTATCCTAGCTCGTGCTGTCTCCGTGAACCTGAGTGCTGTAACTTTCAATGGGGGTACCTCATATACCCTTGTATCATCAGTCACAGTACCCACAATCACAGCGATCTTACCTTCCTATACAAAAAAAATTTCAGCACAGAATTAATGGAAATTACAATTAACTAAATTACAAAAGTTAACAAGATAGAGATATCTAACCTTTCCCTTCATAAATTTTATCAACCTTGACAGAGAAAGAGGAGGCTTGTTAACCTTGCTCATGACCAGGCGCTTCAGTATCACATCATTGAAATTGCTACCAGTTCTCCGGACTAGGAAGCGATAAAGCTGATCAAGAAACATTAATCAGAGTAAATCGATGTATGTAACAAAAAAGAAACAAGTAACCTCACATTAACATGTAAGTAGATATATATACAATACATGAAATATGACGGGCAGATATCAAATTAAGAAAGAGTTCCCTCAGCATAAACTACAAGTCAAAATCATGATATCAGCATTAGCATGGTTTAAAAGGCATCATAGGGAACCTTCCTCTTTGACAAGTATAAGATTGCCATTAAAACAAGAATTGAAAATATAAAATAAATAAATAAAATAACATCATAGAGATAATCAGATAAAACTATATAATGCTCAGTAATTAATATTGACAGGATATTCCATAACTTGGTTAAGAAAAAAGCTTATGAAAATGAACTAGTGAATTTCAGCTCTTGGTGAAAATATCTATAAATCATTGGAATAGTTATTAAAAACCCAAAACTCTTCTAGTGCATTATATACCAAACGAAATGTTAGAGAAAAATAATTATTGTTATTTTTTCTACAGTAGAGTGATAAAAATGAAATAAAATGCTAGTTATTCCAGGCTCAGACAAATGTGGATAAATCTATTCCCAGACCTTCGCATGACGAAGGCCTCATAATGAGCTGGGATCACATTTATCATCATCGTGAAAAATACACCCATCAGATCAACACCGTATACTCTAACGACTACCCACTTAATTAACAGGAACAGATTTATCAGACACAACTAATGGCTGGTTAATTTCTCCGAAAATTAAGAACATAACATACATAAATTCCACAGTAAAAGAATAGGGATCGAATAGAGACCTTGACCAAGAGCTTGAGGTAGATATCATCGGACTTGGGAGCAGTTCTTTTGGTCTTCTTGCTCTTACCGCCAGCCTTAAGATCGATACCCTGTATAACAAAAATAAAAAAAAGAAAAACATCGGCACTGAGGGGGAAAGGCCAAAGAAAGAAGAACGCACGAAGACACGTAGATGAGTGAGAGAATGAACCATTGTAGCTTGGGTGATGACAAGCTCCCTCTGTGCTCAGCTTGAACGACGCGACGACTGATGAAATATAAATCGGGAAGAGGAACGATGAAGTAGGGTTTTGTTGAGGTGCCGCCGGGCTTCGCCTGTCTTGTGTGGATCTGGGCTGGCCCATCTTTTTCATTAATCCGGGTCAGTTAGAGTGAGCCCACACCTATGCGTCCGGAAGCAACTTAGCGGCATTCGTATGTTTGGTATGATATAAAGAATAATGAGAACGAGAATATTGTTTATTTTCCCATGTTTGATTTAAAGGTGGTAATTTAGGTGAGTCAAACTTATTTAAATCAAACTTAAAATATTTTATCTTTTTAAAAAACTCATATAATTAAGTCTGACTCTAATTTTTTTTAGTTGGGTTCTGACTAATTTATCAAGTTTGGCCAAATTATCAGCTCTAGGTTGATTGAATTAATTGCAACCACGGATGCTAAAATATGAAATTTCAGAAAAAAAAACATGTTTAAAATTATTCTAATTGAATTTTTTAATACTTATCTTTCATATTTTTAATAGTCATCCTTGACATTTTTAATACTCAGTTTTTTTATTTTTTTTTCATTAGTCACTTGAGATATATTAAATACTCCTTTTTCATGATTTCAATGCTGAAAAGTATTAAAAATAAATGTTTTTCAATATCATTAAAAAGAATTAAATGGAAGATGATTATTTAAAACACATAAGATGACTATGGGAAAATTGAAAATAGGAGTATCAATTACCAAATTACGAAGGCTGAGCAACAGGTAGGATAGGTTAGCCTGAAAGGCTACCTAAAGCTTGTTCATGTCAGATAAAATGGGTACCAACTAGCTCGTACCTGTAGATAACCCTTTTAACCCATTTTTAAATGGGTTGGACTAATCCAAGTGGATTTTGGCTAGCCCATTTTTTCTTGCAATATTTGCTAAATAAATTTACATGTTTAGAAAAAAAAATCTCATAAATTTATAGATCTAGCCAAAGAAGCAAGGCATTAAAAGAAAGAGAGATAGGTATGGAGAGATAAAGAGTGGAAAATTAAAGGTGGTGATGGCAACAACTTTGTAGATCTACCAATATGGAGTGGAAAGACGCTCGTAAAGGAGAGGGAGATGCATGGGTGATGATGAAGTTTGGGGTTAGCTAAGGGTTGAGGCTTCTTCCTAACTTCTTCATAACTTTAACCTCTAATAGCAACCTATGTGGCTTGATTCTTGAGCTTGAGCACAGCACATGCATTAATGTTATGTGTCTTTTTATTTTTGTTTCATGTAATTTTTTTTAAATAATTATATATGAGTTGGGACGGGAAGTCTAAGAGATAACTTGTAGCTCGTCTCGTCTATATATTGTAACATCCCAATTTAAATTTTAATAGTTAATTTGGGTTAATAGAAATTTTGAAAAAATATTTAGAGGTAAACAAATTAGTAGAAAATGATTATTAAATCTAATTTAGGATATAATTTTAAATTAAAATAAAAAAAATTTAAAAAATTTAATTAATTTAAAAAATAAATAAATAAAATATTATTAAATTATTATTATTATTATAAAAAGAAAGAAAGAGAAAAGGTATGAGAAAGAGAAAGGAAAGAAGGAAGAAAACGTGAACGCTTTCGGTGCAATCATTGTATATTATAATAATATAAAAAAAGGGGAGAGAGAGAAAAGAAGAAATAATAAAACAAATGTGTGGGACCCACTGAATTTTTATAAAAAACTCACCTGTTCCTTCATTTCTTCATTCCTTCTTTCGTGCGTGAGCTGAGGCAGAGAGAGAGCATCTGTGAGCCAAGTTCATCGGTGCTGGGTTTTAAGGTAAGAGTTTTTAATAGGATATTTAGGGTGTGATTTTAAGTTTTTCAAGACTAAATAAGTGTTCTAAAATTTTTTCTTAGTCATCCTTCTTCTTTGGTTTCTGAGTTTGTAGTGATAGAAAATTTAAGATCTGGAAGAGGGATGAATTTATGTTGAATAAATATGATTTTTGAGGTTGTCAGTAGTATGATAAATGGTTTAGAGTATAAATTTATTGATGATCTTTGAATCTGTGGCTTATGGATCAAATTTAAAACTAGATCTAAAAATATGTGTTGATTTATTGAGGTTTAGATGATTATTTGGGATGAGAAATGAATTATTATGGTTATAGGGTTATGATTCTAAGCTAGAGATTTAATTTTTAATTTTTGGGTATTTTAGGTACGAATTTATGAAATAAAAAGAAAATTTTGATAATAGAAATTAGTTTAGAAGTTGATTTTTAGATTATTAATGTTTATTGATAATTAAAAGAGGAGTTAAAAATTTACTTAATAGTATTGACTATAGATTTGTATTAAGATTGAAATTAGGAATTATGTTATATCTTTAATTCTATTATTAGAATTATTTTATTAGTTTCAAAAATTGAAACTAATATTTATAAATAATATGTTATTTGTAGATTGTATTACTGGTGAAGATTGTGGTGAGAGAAAATTTTAAGAAATAATTTATTGAAAAAGTCACAAGGTAACCATGCTTTTAATTTGTGATTAGTGTTACTTCATGTTAATTAGGTGATTATTGAGAAAATTATGAATTTTGTAATATTGTATAATTGTGCAATATTATTATGAATTTGTTTAATTATTGTGGGAAGTGTTGGGAGACTTGCTATTATTGTTGTATTTATGTGCCACGTGATACGCCCCTATTGGAACTCAATAGGTGGCTTGTAAGGGTTCGGGCTAATCTACCTTTGGCTCGAGGTTAATGGAGGGATATAAGGATGGTTGTTTGTGTTTATTGTAATATTTCTTATATTTGTTAGAATTATATTATTTTTAATTCTCACTTAGTAAGCACACACTTAACTGTTTTTATACACTATCATAAATTGGCTTTGATTACTGGGACTTTTGAGTCTCATTATGTGGTTAACAATTTTCAGGAGAAGAACCACGAGTGACACGTGGAGGAGTCCCAGAGACTTAGTGGTATAGATCCACTGTCTCTTTTGGGTATTTAATTTATGATTTATAATGTGTTATATTGCCAATATTAAGGCTTTTTATTTATTGTCAATTATATGAATATATAAATGTAATCATGCCTTTCAAACTATTTCTATTTTTGGTACAATTTAGATGATTGTAATTTTAATATTAGGTTTATTTTGGATTGATTAAAATGGCATGATTATTAGGTCAAATAACTGGCTTGTATTGAAAATTGACTAAATTGCTTATTTTACTTGTTGGGAGTATAAGGATGAACAAATGTGATTTAGTTTACTTGTTGGGAGTATAAGGATGGACAAATGTGATTTAGCCTAATGGCATGTGGGAAGTAAAAATTTATCTAAAATGTTATAATGTGTGAGTTAGAGCCAATTATAAAATATTTTATATTGAAATTATTGATATAAAAATGTGTTGGGTGGCTGTAACCCAACTATGGTTGAGTTAAATTATTTAAAAAAAAATTGGTGTGTTACATATATAATTGTTAATGGGCTAGGTCGTATGCACGGCTCGCCCATTTTTTCCTTTAATGAGCGAGTTTTTATTCCACCCAATTTGACTGAGTTTGGGCAAGCATATTAGGTTGCAGGTTGCTTACTTAGCTCTCTAAAATACTAAAGATGAGTGTTGGGAATATTAACTAATAAAAATTTTAATTTCAATTAAAGATTATAATACTTTTTTAAAAAAATTGAATTTTAGGATCCTTAATTGAAAAATATTTTTAGAGGGTTCTTAAATGTCATTGTCCCTTGAATGTAACCAAAATAAAAAATGAAGAGAAATGCTGTAAAATGACCAAGTTGTCCCCTTGCAAAAAAAAAAACCCTTAATCGATTAAAGGAAATTAAGTGGGATTAAGCATCATACAGAGAGGCATTTATTAAGAGATAATAATGGGTGATGATTGTGAATATCTGGCTGGCTTTGTTTACAATGTTAGATTGACAAGTATCACTAAAAGGACTCAACGTGTGTAACATAATCTGAGATAGACATTTATTCAATATACGCCCCTCTAGGCTAGAAATCATTATGATAATCTTTTATTAATTACCTTGTGTTAGATGTCATTTTATATTTTTACAATTGATGTGACATAATTCTATTTTTTAAGTATTCAACTATTCAAAATTTCTAGCAGGGCTCCCCGAAAGACTAATAGGATAAGGCTTTGGCCTAATCCAAAATCTAGTCTCTTTCATAGAAAAGAATAGGTTAGGCAACTTGTAATTTGATCTAGTTTCAACTTAACCTGAAATTGAATAAAACTAGACTTGGTTCATAAGAGTGGAGAACTAGTCTCAATAGTCCAATACCTTACTTTGTTTTTTTTCTTGTACAAGATGCAATAATTTATTTCAACTTAATAAATTCAATTAAGATAACAAACATACTTACAATCATATAAAAATTTATCACAACATTAAAAGCTAATCATAATAAATTCATAACAATTTTCAACAAAAAAACATCAAACACGGAGTGAAGACGAGTATATGGAGTGAATAGTCTTCAAAGTTCGGGCTAGGGATGGTTCATTGAACACTAAAGAATAAAAAAACTAAAAATGTGGAGAAAACATTGGGTTGAGGCTCAAGCTTTAAAGTTAAAACTATATTAAAAAAAGGAAAAATTAATCACCCAATACTTTTAGTTTCACCTGATTTTTAATTAAATACTTGTAGTTCTTTTCATTAAAAGTGTTGGTCCTTCCCTTCTTAAAAATAATGTAAGTTATGTATGAAAAATTATGTAAAGAGATTTGTTGAAAAAAAAAATAGTATGGTGACATAGGCGATTAAGACTTCTCATATTTGTTCTTAAGAAAAACTTTCTCATACATGTAATGTATATTAAGGGTTAATGTTAATTTGAATCCTGAACTAAATATTCTAGGCGACTTAAACCTTAAACTCATTATTCATACATTTTTAAACCTTAAATCAATTACATTCGAGGCAATCTAGTCCCACTATTGATGTTTATGAGCTCTAAGATACTTGAGTGTAGGAAGCTTACTTTTGATATGTATG